TTTTTTTTTTTGGATTTACGTATAAAATTATTTTATTGGAAGAATGTGTTGTTGAAGTTTTGGAAAAAATGAGTTTATATTGAATGGGGTTCAAACCTCTTATGCTCGGACTCTTTGAAATAGTCGGAGTATCCATGTCAGACATGACATGAGTATAGGTATGAAATATGTGTTGGATATTCTAAGTTTCAATTGGATAATTTACTGTTTTTGCTACTTCTTTTTTGTCTTTCTTCTTTTTTCTTTTCCTTTTCTTTCTCATTTTTGCTCTCTATTAACCTAGCACCGCCTCCGACATGGAGAAAGACGACGACGCTAGATTTCCCCTTCTTCTTCTTTCTCTTTTTCCTTCCCCTTTTTTATTTTTATTTTTTTTCCTTCTTTCCCTCTTTGTATCGGTAGTTTAGGGTTTTGTTTGTATAAAATGAAAATGAGTTTCATCTAGTGCTACTTAGTACTCCACTAAGTATAAATTGCAATTAAGTCCTGCATTTTCTATTTTATATAACATTTAGTAATTAACTTCCCATAATTGAAAACTAGACTTCAAATTCTATTTTATTCGTCATAATCCCTTATTCAATACTTATTTCTTTCTTTATGAACAATTGATTTTGATCTATTCAAAATGACATCTTGGGTTATAAAAAAATGAAGCTCGAAAGACGTATCCAAGTACCCGTATCTGAAATTTGGACTATTTTCAGCCATGTTCCAGTGTTCTATATTTAGAAAATAGAAGATCCGACACTAAGATATGTACTTGTACCCGATTCCTGTACCCGAGTCCAAACATCATAGGCTCAAATAGTGGCTAAATTAGGTTTGTATTATGTGTATTTGATGGGCTAACATTTGTCTGTGTTGTTGTGTTTAACACGATATTGCATGTACCGCCGTTTTCATGGATGTTGGGACATAAGTCTCCTATAGTAGTTTTGATACTTTTACCTAGTTTGCTGCATGCGTTCAGAGTTAATGTAAGCATCTGTTCTTACTTGATTGCCTTTTCATTGATCAATTGTGTACAGGAATTATTTATGGACAAAAATGGCACTGCAGGACTGGCTGAGGAGAGGTTGGCTTTACATAAACTTCTCATGGCATTGCCAAATGATTTATTTTCTACCCCTACTTATTTTTGTATTTAAATTGTATTGCTGCAGCATCTGAATTGAGCTGCCATTCTATTTCTTGTCACTTGATGCCTGACAGTTGTAATGTGGGCCATTATTAATTTCCCATTGAATCCTTCATCACGCTATTGAATTGTCTGCCTCAGACCGTCGAACATACTCTCATTTAAGCTGAAATAAGAGGGATGATAAATCAACTAATTTGTGATATATTCTTTTTTGTTTATTGTGCTCACATCTATAATTGCCTCACATTACGTGTATCTGATCTGTGTTATCTACCAAGTATACTTTGTTAGTAAATGCTTGCATCTTTTAGTTACAGTTCCATGGACGTAGATGTTTTCTTTTTCAATGGAAGAGTATTTTACTGTCTTGCGTATTATATTGTGGAGGTTTTATTGGACAGTGTCATTATCTATATTATTCTGTCTTCTTGAAGTTTCTGGGTCTCATATTCTCTTGGTGGTTGATGCTGTTGATCAGTCCATAAAAATATCGGAACTGCATTGGTCTCTTACACTATCTTTTCTCTGACTCCAGTGGTGATCCTCAGGCATCTGTCCAACCGATGACTCCTCTCAAGCTAGCTGAGCATCCTCAAGAGAGGACAAATTCAGAAACCATGGTAGCTACTTGAAGCTCTAATAAAATTTTGTTTTCAGCCTTTAGTCTCCATTTCACTCGATTTTGATTTACATCATTATTTATATGTCCCTAAAAGGTATAAAGATACATTGCATGTTTTGTTAGTTCGATTCATAGTACCACAAGTGGATATGTCCACCAGGAAACTCAGATTTCTATCAAGTGAAGATAATATTATCACGTGCAGGTTGATGTTGTTAACGATGCTGATGTCATGGACTATGCTCAGGCACCTTGCACTCCTGGATTGGTGGAAGAGCCTAATTTGTCCAATGTCCAAGAGGCTTCAGCATGCGATGACCATCTGGAGGGGGAAGATCATTTAATGGAATCTGCTGTGAAAGAAAATACTAAAAGTGTTACTTCTGAGGGTAAACAAGAGGCAGATTGGTTGTCGCGAGATGATGTAAATTCTAATGCTAATCGTTGGATGGTGCCTGATGAGAATGGGTATCATTCGGGTAGCCTGGAAATTGATTTAATAAAGCCACAAAGAGAAGCTCCTTTTACTGAAGCTACTTTGGAGCATGTGAATTTGGACAAACCTTCATCAGTGTCCACACCATCTTCTGATTTATCTAATCAAGTTGAAGCTGTAAACCAAGCATCAGAATTGGTTGATAAGATCACTGAGGCATCTGTTGTTCCTGCCAGAGAAGATTTGCTGAATGAAATTATCAACAACGATAAGAGCAACTTTCCCTCTGCTACGGAGCCCAGTGGTGATCCCCAAGGTCCCAGTGATATTGGCTTGGAGGACAGTGCTAAAAATACTTCTGGTTTGACTACTTACCAGCAAGTCAACGAAGTTGTAACATTGACAGACCAAGCTGCAGTTGGGGTAGAAGGTCCTGTTAGTGCTGGAAATGTTGGTGATCTGGATAAATCATGTCCTGATGCATCAGAAATAGGTGCCAAAAGCCAAGGTTCTTACTCTGTGAATCCTGGGACTCAGGCTTATCAGGAACCAGAACATTCAAACCTATTGAATCCTGATGTTCATAAAAACTTGACATCTACTGGAATTCAGTTTCTCAGGCCATGTAGTTCCAACCCAGACCAACCTCACATACCAAATTCTGGATTTGACATGTCGATGAATCCTGACTTACAATCTGATGCTTCTGCCTTGGGTTCATTAGAAATTTCTGGACGAGAGGATATTGTTACGCTAGGTTTGTTTATCAAGCTCATTACTTGCTAACATTATGTGATTTCAAAAATTCTAAAAAGTTCTTACTAATTTCTTATGGGCTTTTAGTCTTATCAAATCCTTTTTGAGCATTAAGTCCTACGTTGTGAGGATAATTTGAAAAAGCTCTGAACGTTAAAAAAATTGTTACTTTTTCCATCTTTACCCTCTGTCTTTTAAAGTTAGAATCTTTATCTTCTGTGTTTGTCTTTAATTCCTTATTCTATCATCTAACTCTTATTATATTTAAATGAGGAAGGGGTTCAGAACATCTTAGTAAGTTCAGTAGGAGTTAGATGGTATTTTGATCTATGCACTGGTCCTTGGGTATTGAAAAGTTTTCTGTTTTATCAGGTGGAGCTTGCCATGTAACTGATTATTCAGAACAAATTTCGAAGGAAAACCACGTAGAAGAACTTGCTCCATGTGAAGATGCTCATGCAGCGTTCAGCAAACTTCACGGTCAAGTTGATAATATACATTCAGAGGATAGGCCACCAGTGGATAATTTAAATAATTCTGTGGAATCTGATATACCAGCTCCTGAGAAACTACTGTCAGTAGCAGGGCACGCTGCTATACGCTCAGACATGCTAGCAGAGGATAATCCATGGGACTTAGAAGGGCTCAATAAAGATGATTCTGGGAGCAAAACATACTCTGGCAAAAAACGTAGTTTGACTGAAAGCACATTGACAGAGCACGGTCTGAATTCAGTTGAATCTTCAAGGACGGTCCGTTCCAAAAGAACTGTGGAATTTGTTCCTGATGACGATGATTTGTTGTCTTCTATTTTAGGTATGTCAAACTTTCTTCTTGTTGAACCTAAAACTTTCTTCTTGTTGACCTGTGAAATGTGGACGCTCTTTGCCACGATGAGACATTGACTTGCCAGAGACGAACTGTAGCATGTTCCCAGTGCTACATTTGGCTTTTCATATGTTTTATGTAATTTTTAAAACTTCCGACATGGAGGTGACATGGTCCCAGAATGCCCCGGAAGTGTCTGACACATGTCATGTGTCCTATATTTTTATAATTTTGTATGGTAACACGTGAAAGACATAGCCTACCCACAGATAAATTTAATTATTAACATTTGTGAGAAATTTAAGATAAAACGAGAAGAAATTTTTTTTTTTTTTCNAAGTACAGTGAAGGACCCCTTGAAATCTTTTCTTCAGATCTTCACCGTCGACCTTCGATCAGCAGGCTTGAGATGAGAATACACGTATACACGGAGTTACAGTTGATTTTTCCCATTTCGAAATCGAAAATCTGAAAAACTGGAAACAAGTTGCGCTTTGCAGAAGAAACTAGCAAGTACAAAATATCAGATACTCAAAAGGAACTCAAAATTCATCATCTTGTACAAAATTCAAGATTCCCTTTTTTCACTTTCATTTCCTCTCTCTACGTTTTTCGGTGCAGATCGTTAGTGTGTGAATTTTTCTGTGTAAGGATGAACTGTCGGGGTCTGTTTTGAACTTCGATCTTAGTTGCAACTTAAGTTTCTGCTACTCAATTTCTGCGTCTTTTTGAGTGTTGAAGTTGGTGAAATTTCGTATTTGAAGTTTTGGAGGTTAATTGGTGGATTCACCGGTGGTGGGTGAGCGTTTGTGTGAAATTCAGGGTTTTTGATTTTTGGGATCTGGTGTGAGCATGGGGTTTGAATGTCAATTGGACTTGATTTTGCACTTAGGTCCTGATTGAAGTGAACCAGCTGGGTTTTTAAAGTTATTTATTTATTGGTTTTTTCTTTTTTTAAATGTATGTTGGAATAAATTAGGAGAAGAAGAAGGGTTTGGCTATAGTTATAGGATAAAGATTGTTTGGGGAGAGAGCAAGATGTTTTATTCGCAGTTTATATTGGCAAAAAAGGGGCCTCTGGGTACCATATGGATAGCCGCCCATTTGGAGCGGAAGCTGCGTAAGAATCAGGTTGCTGATACAGATATTGGAGTCTCCGTAGGTAAATTTTAGTTTTGATGGTTCTTTTTTATCTTTGATAATGTAATTATTTACTTTCAGTTTGTTTTTCTTGAAGTGATACAACCTAATAGTTGGTGCACTTTTGTGTATATAAATAAATGGTCATTAAATATTTAATCTGGTTGTGGTAAAATGAACTGGAGAAGAAAAACATATGCAGCTCATGAGTAATGTGAATGAAAAGCGAATCACGTGCTTATCTTCTGTTCCCTCAAGTATCATGATAGAGCTATATTTGGTGTTCTGATTCAGTTTCTAAATGAGCAATTGTATTGAAGTTTAGATAGAAATTTTTGTTCCAAATTCAAGGTGACAATGACCATGAAAACCAAACCTCTTATAAATTTTGGTAGATTACACTGTGCTAAGTCAATATCTCTCTGCTTGACTATTCTTGCACGGTAGTTTTTACTTGCCATGGTCTGATGAATCTTTATTCATTCATATACTTTTTAAAATATCAAGAAACATTAATTCCTGGTTGTTTATACGCATTATAAAGCCACAGTGTTGTCATTTGGTATGAGGCTTATTTTGAGCACAATTGATAGCTTGCTTAAGTTTCGGTTTGAATGAGTTAAAGGCAGTGCCATTACTTCAGGCGTTGGAAGATTCACAAATTCAACTTTTGGAAGATTCACAAATTCAACTTTTGAACACCACAATTTACTTCTTTTCTGCTTGGAATTGAACCAACTACCAAGGAATGAAATTAGATTCCCTTTGATATTGTAATTGTTTTTTGTTATTTGTTATTTGTGGTGGAGTGTTTGCAATGATAGGGCTGAGTCATTTGAATAAGTAATGATATCAGGATTCTTCAGGTGAAGTGTAAACCAGATTTTAGCTAATTTTTGTAGACCTTAGCGATTGTCGTTTGTTTCATAATACTTTTTGTCTATGTTTGTAAATGCCAAATAGTTGGAAAAAAAAATGTCTCCACATCGGGAATTTCTGTCGTTCTTCTAGAATGTTCAACTCTTTCATTTTTTTAATTATTAGGAAAAAGAAAATCGCAAGAAAATGATTGCTGCATACAACTTTGTTTATAAGTTGATGCACAAGCTTTACTGGGACGCAACCCCTTATACAAACTTGTAAATGAAGAATTATATCTTTGCGACGTCTAGGATACCATACTTCGTTTTTAACTTCCGGTCTGAAATTATGCCCTTGTTTGGTTCAGATTTTTAGTAGATTTTGATAAATTCATGAAATGTATGGTTGAAAAGTTGTGGTCCCATGAAATATGCGGTTAAAGTTAATTGTTGGCTTTGACTTAGATTAACATTTTGATTTTAATACCTACCAAACAGGGGCCAAATATTTTTAATCAAAAAATACACTTGAGTCTTGAGTGTTGTTTAACTATGTAATTGAATCTCAACCAAAATCCTTTAATATCTATACAAAATTAAAATATGTGATTTTTTCAAGGAAATTCTTTGAATCTAATAATCTTAATATTAATAATATAGTGCATATCTATACACAGTAGTGCATGCATTTGTAGCATGGACTAGGTGGGTATTCTTGTATAACTCAAGCAATTATCACCCATTTTTAAGATGTTAGCATTGCAACGTTGATGAATTTGACATTCACGGATATTACATTCCATAGATTTTTTGAAATGGTCAACCTGAGCAATGAGTATAGTGAAACTTTTCTCTCGATAGAACGGTTTCAAGATGCTTGATAAATTGAAATGAATTGCAATGTTGATTAAAAGAACTAGAAGAATCACATCCTTGTGTCCATTGCAATTGATGTAGGACAAGGTGACTAAAGGAAGCTGAGAAAGATTGACTATGACTGATTAAAGGGGGGAAAATGAATCATTTTTCAATAATTTGTTCTCTAAAGATGTACAATAATAACTAAGCTGTGCTATAGTATTTGTGTAGCAGAGCTAAAGAGAGAAGAAAAGCCTATGCTTAAGTAATTTGAATCACTTACAGTCTCTACCGTTATGACTAAACACCATGCTCCACTCTGTGATGTGGCACTGAATTTTTTGTGGTTCTCTCACTTTCTCCATGGTTCAAATTTAATTGTTGTTATGATCACACATTTTTTCATTCGGTTAATTCTGTTGTGACTGCTTTCGTTTAATTTCTTCGATTTTTGGCATTTTATTATTTTTTGATAAAAGGTGTTGTTCTTTCATCCAGTATAACTTGCTTATCTTTTGCAGATTCAATTCTTTTCCCCGATGCTCCAATTGCACTTCGGTTGTCTAGCCATCTTCTGCTTGGAGTAGTGAGGATATATTCTCGAAAGGTGAGCTACCTCTTTGATGATTGCAGTGAGGCTTTACTGAAGGTTAAGCAAGCTTTTCGCTCTGCTGCTGTGGATTTACCTCCAGAAGAATCAAAGGCACCATATCACTCCATCACCTTGCCAGAGACATTTGATCTTGATGATTTTGAGCTGCCCGATAATGACATTTTCCAGGGGTTCGTTTGAAATATCTAATTCATGATTCCTGTGAAACCTAAGCTATCTATAGACAGTTTATGAGTTTATCCTCCTTTCTTATTGCTTCACAAATTTGTGTAGCTGCTAAATCTTCATGGCCTTAAAGATTTCTTAGCACTGCACTGATTGGATTTTTGGTCTAGTAATTGCCCAACTTGTACACAGTCAGACATGCACAAAGGCCAGCTTGTTGACTTGATAAAGCTTAGAGTTTAATGGTTTATTTACCATGAGTAGCAGAAACAAAAAGAACTTGACTTTCTTGCCATGAGTAGGAGACATTTAAGTGCTTATATTTGAATTGGCTTGCATGACAGTCATGACTCCTGTGTTTTTACTAGGACGCTTGGAAGACATTATGTAATATTTCATTTGTTGAGCACAGGGTATTTTATTCTATCCTGTCTAACAATTGCACACTGATTGCAAATTATGCAGTAACTACGTTGACCATCATATTAGTTCAAGGGAGCAAATTACCCTTCAGGATACTGTGGATGGTATCGGTTACTCCACGTCAAAGTTTGGACTGGATGGTTGGTATTCTTTGTTCTTGTTTTGCATGAGCTCCTAATATATGTATTTTTCAAACCAACTCCACCCCTCCGCTGAATCCCCCGCTTCCCCAACCCTACAAGAAGAATAAAGAACAAGAGTTGCATCAACCCAGATATGAAGATATAGACTTTTAATCATTAAAGTAATGCTTATACTTGCCTCGTCTACATTAGTTTTCCTAATTGTTGCTCTAATTGTTTGCAGAGAGGTTTGGGGATGGTGATGCTTCTGGATTGGACCTTGATGAGGTATATATTCACACTATTGATGCTGTTGTATTTTTTTGTATTGCTTTATATTTAACACTGTTATAATGCTTGATTTTATCATGCTCCCATATATGTTGGAACAAGTAATTAGATCTTGTTATAACTCAGATATATTTGATTATTTGTGTAACACGTGAAAGTTTGAATTACTAGGATGCTGAAAATTAAAATTATTACTATCATTTTCATTTGTAATGATATTTAATATTATATGGGGATATTTTTTTTGGTTCAATTCTCCCTGATAAAAATAAAATGCAATAGCACTAATGCTCTGGTTGCCATTCGTCTGGCATAAAACTCGAAAGTAAACCTGATACGTATATCCTTTCCTTCAGAAGCCGAGAGGTGTCTTCGACCCGGCACGTAGTTTTCTCGTTCTAATATGTATTCTACTTGTAAATGAACTATATTATGATGCCCTCCATGAAGTCAATGTGGAGCAAAGAACCAGCTTGAGCTATCTATAAATTTTGATACAAATTTATAATTGAAATGTATTGGACGTTATGCTCATCCCCCTGGCCGTACCAGATTTTAAATATTTTATTAAATTATTCCTTTTAAGTATGAAATCTGATACCAGATTACAACATACAAGGAGAGTAGTTAGACCCACATTTCTTGTTTTACTGGTGGAAACAGAGACTTTCTGAAACTATTTTCTGTAGTTAAAATAGCTCAATTTGCTTGAACGAAAATTTCTAGAATCATTTCAAATGTTAATGTTGAAATCAGCAAAATATTTGAGTGGGGATTTAGTTATAAAAATGACTGCTGAAAACACACACTCTTAGCCCCCGTTTGAGCCCCATTATTTCTCATCACATTAAATTAAAATTTTCTCTCTCCTACTTTTAACCACACAGTCTTTAATAAAATAATATTACACGTAAATCAAAAACTTTTCAACCACTCATTTTTAAAAAAAGTACTATTCATCTCATTATAACCTACAAATAATGGGGCTCAAACAGCCCCTAAAATGCTTTGTCCTAATTAGATTGAGCTTAATGCATACTTTCTTTTCATCTAAACTGTTGTCCTCCATTTTCATTTTGAATTATCCAAATATGAATTCTGAAGTGACGTTTATATCCTTTTAACTTTTGTAGTTATAAGAAGAAAAGGTTTTCGTTCCATAGAGTTTAGGGGGTCATCATATCATGACAATGTATAGGTACTTATCAGTGCATGTAGGTTATAGAGTAGTGATGTGAATACCATAACGGATGGGAACTTTATATGGAAGATCACAAAATACTCTCCACAAATTCTGACATGTGATCTTTTGTTATCGTAGAGTAAGAGTTAACTAATTAAAGCTCTGTTTGAGCCCCATTTTTTAGGAAATAGATTTTGTAATAGTGATTTTTTTTTTTTGGATTTACGTATAAAATTATTTTATTGGAAGAATGTGTTGTTGAAGTTTTGGAAAAAATGAGTTTATATTGA